TAAAGCAGGAATTAGGGTGGCATTTAAACCTACAAACTCACTCAGGGACAAGCTCTGTAGGCTAAAAGACCTGGTGGACCCAATTAAATAAAATAATATAAATTACAAAATACCTTGCAATGACTGTGAGGTCAACTACATAGTTCAGACTAGTAGTTCGGAGGGGGGTGGTCAGAGTGTCGGAACATAAGAATTTAGCGAAGGTAAGAATGGTTGACCCCGAGAAGATAAGTAATTTAAGGGAAATGATTGTAGACTTAAGTTAACCAGTATCGACCACATGTTCAGTTGCTGCAATTCTTATAGCTCCACTGCTATCTCTTCTTAAGCACACACGACAGTATCCTGATGCTCTCTAATGACCTATATAATTAGCCCCACAAGAGCAGGGGAACTGGTAAATACACATAGAATTGGTCAAATGTAGGTTCTATTCCTTCGGGTTATTGAACAGTGATGGTCGACTAGAAAACACTGTTCTCAGTGATGCTGTAACGAATTTCCATTTCAGGGACAGTGAGATCCTTCTTTTAAAGATGTTGGCAACCGAGTCAGTTTTGAATCTAAGGTTCATATGTATCATTTAAAAAAAATTCAATTCAGTATAATTTTTTTCTGTACCGTCTTATCATAACTGTCACGATGTTGCGTAATTATTATTTCTATATGCCACTTGATACTTATACATTTCATGAATTATTTTATGAAGTGCACGACTAATTATTTTTTCAAGTATTGGTTTGGTAGGGATTTTTTTTGATTGCATGGAGGATTTCATCACGAGCTGACATCAGTTACAGAACCACTGGAAAACCTGGGAGTACTGGACAGCTGTTTCGTCCTGGTTTGAGAATCTTCATCAGTACGCACCCACCGGGATTCGAACCCAGGACCTTCTGGTTACAAGGCGAGCTCGTAGACCAGTGAGCCACTGGGACCCGATCCAATGGTCCTCTTAACTAACTTCTGCCAATTCACGACGTAACCAGAAGGTCCTGGGTTCGAATCCCGGTGGGTGCGTACTGATGAAGATTCTCAGACTAGGGCGAAACAGCTGTCCAGTACTCCCAGGTTTTCCAGTGGTTCTGTAACTGATGTCAGCTCGTGATGAAATCCTCCATGTAATTATTTTTCGTCACAATCCACATTATTATTGTAAAAAATCATATATATATATATATATACAGGATTTTAAAGCTTGTAAATAAATTCTTTGAGAAGAGACTTTGCCGGATGACTTGTTTTGATTTTCTTTATGTCTTTTTGGGAATTTTCTACGAATTAAATTAGAAGTATCTCCTATTATTCGTTTGATGGTTACTAGTACTGGGATTCGTCGGTGGTTCAGTGGTAGACTGTTGGTCGGCCAAACGCATGGTCCGAGGTTCGAGTCCCTGCCGGTGCACTCCTTTACCTCGCTTAACCGGTTATAATCCCGACAAATAGAGGTGGTTGGGCGTGAGGCTAGCAACCCCACTCTACAAAGAAAAACAAAACCCACTGGTACTGAAACTTCAAACCACTCAAGTTTGAAGCCTTATCTTCCACTTGGAACGCAAAGGAATAAAAAATGTAATAGAATTCACAACCGGTGTTCCGTTCTTATTTGGGACAAGTTGGCTGGATGCTGATGCTCCTCATGAGGTAGTATTCCCACTGACAGTGAAACACAGCAACCAAAGCCTCTGAGCGCGAACAGCTCACTGTGCCACAGGAGTTCCTTGTGAGGAGCGATTGGACATTTGAAAAGATGAGTGAGAGTCTCGGCGGTGACAAAATCGTCACCCATCTCTGCTGTCCATATTCAAATAAACAATAAGCATCAAATGGAAACTAAGGTCATATAGAGGGATCTTCCTAAAGAGCTTATGCATCACAAGAAACCGATTTTTTTTTACTTCGGCTATCTCCTACGGGAGGATGAGCCGGCTTCATGAACATCTAGAATCATCGCTGCCCAGGCACGGTGATCTGATGCAAGGTTTTGCGACACGGTTTTCCAATTCTTGTTCCACAGACGGAGTCCGTAGACGGTTTGTAGCCCCAGGCACTCCATATCAGCCTTGACTGTACCAAGCCATGTTTGTAAGAGAGTTCATGAAGTTTCATGGGAATTCGGTACGAGTGATGTCCCCAGAATCGCTCGGCCTTTTGTTTGAGAGTGCAGCTCTAGCCTTTACACAACCAAGTGTGAACTACAAGGTAGTAGGAGTGGAGTAGGGAGTCCACTATCCATTGGCAGCCGGTGACCGGAGTTCGGTTCATACGCCTTTTGGAATGGGGCCAGACATCTAGGACATCCAACGAGCCTTTTGTTCATACGTCTGCCGGTGAGCTCCAGTGGGCTTCATACGCCAGTCGTTGGGGGTTCGGAATCAGGGTTCAGCCATCTCCTCTAGACTGTCATCCAATGGACAGTCAACCCGGTGAAGAGCGCCGGGCATCCGCTTTCGCCCTCTCACTTTGGTGAAAAATACCTCCGCCACGTGAAGGCAGTGAGTAGGACTTCCTCAGGAGAGGCTATGTAAGACGCCCGGTCATATGGGAGCATTTCAAGAGGTGTGCGGAGGGGTGGCCAACCCGCAGCGCAAGGCACCCACCCCCGACCATCCTGAGGCTATGGAGGCACAAGAAACCGACGCATCAAGGAAACACACACACAATTAGATATATATCGTCCAGTATCCTCTACAAACAGTTAAGCAACCAAATCTCTAGTACTATAGTCCCCTTTGATTACTAATCAGAGTGTGACTAACATAAGAAGAACAAGTGAGATCAGGGGCTGATATCAGTTAGAGAACCAATGAATAGGATCAGGGAATATTGGACAGCGGTTTCAGTCTGCTTTCCGGGACTCATTAGCAGTACATTATCGAACACACTACCCACCATTGATTGAATCCGGAACTGAGAGTATCACGAGGCTAACCGGCTGACCATTCGGGGACTTTTTGACTGAAGTTAGTTGAAATCTGTGAAATCCCTTGAAATCAACACTTGAAAAAAGTAATGAAAATAACTTGCTGTTAGGTTCACACCTTTTGTCTACTTTGAACACTATTCATTTATTAATCCATATCCTTTTATTATTATTATTATTATTTACAATGTTTAATCATAATATGATTATGGCTTATCTAATCTCTGTTTACCTGACCTAACAAAAAATATTATTTGACTACAAGGTTAAACAGTATTATCTAAAAATAAGACAAATAAAACTGAACTTCATCATTTAATTCGTTTGTTTAATCTTTTGCTTGTTCTAATATATATATGTAAAATATGACTGAGATACTCTGATGCTGATGATTTTATTGTGCTAAAACAAGATCTAAATAATTCATTCTTGGAGAAACTGAACAATCTATCTATCCCCCAGCGTCTAGTTCAGTTTGGAAGCAGGCAGAATCAGACTTCGGTGAACTGCCATTTCTAGACTGCCTACCTAATTAAGGAAACCCATTCCAACAAATATTTAAACTTCGGACCATTATACCCTATCAGCGCAAAGGTATCAGTTGTTTCAAGTCTTCTTAGACGAGTGCACTCTTTGATGTTAACGGATGAGAAGGAAAAAGAAGAAGAAATATCAAACATCACTGAGATTCTCAAGAAAACTAACTACCCAAAGAACTTCATTAACAAAATCAACAGTGACATTAATTGTGGTCAAAAACGTATTCCTAAAACATGGGCCTCAACAGCTGTCATTCCGTATAGGTCAGAAACTTCAAAAGACATCAGAAGAGCAATCAATAGGCGCAGCATCAGAGTTTTCTTTAAAACATCAGAAATGCACATTACAAAGCAACCTTGTCCTTGCAAAAGACCGAATTGTGTCTATAAAATAAAATGCTTGGAATTTGATGCGATATACATTGGACATACCTCGTTAGGGAGAAATCAAAATCAGAAGGAATGAACTCCGCAGATTGTCTCTTCGACCACCGAGAAATCCAGTTAGTGAACTAGAAAAGCTTGAAAAATCATTAAGCATAGGTGGTCTACACTCTAAAGAATCAGGCCACAAACTTGATTTTGACAATATTGAAATAATCCGGAGAAATTTCAGAAATCACAAAGAACGGCTAATATCATCAGAAGCACTTCATATCAAATGGAATCCAAATCCTCAGAATAGGAATGATGGACTAAGACACAGCGGTTAGGACTCTCGCCGACCATGCACATGGTCCGAGGTTCGATCCCCCGCTGACGCACACCTGATATCTATGGTCGGCCTGCTAAATTTGGGCTACCGATATCACACGCTGAAAATTTCATACTTGTATCAAAATACTGTGTGGAATCAAGCTATAATAAAAAAATAAAATATACGACCCTCCAGTCACCATGAAGAGACAAAATCAACACAAATGTGATAAGCAAATTCTACGAATATAAGCATTGTTTGTATAAATGCTCATGTATGTACAGTTGAGACGTTTGTGTGGAACTGGTGTGATCAAGGGTGAACGCGCATTCATAACCTCTGTAAGGTAAGTTCTGATCACTGCCGTCGCACGCGACCATAGTATTCCTCACAAAAGTTCAAGGCTGAATAAGAACGTAATGCGTTTGCGATCGGATTGGTGGACACTAGGACCCTGCGATATACAGGGGCTCCAGTATTCTAACGTATCGAAAGGTGTAGGAACCTGTTTTGGACAATAGCAACCATAGGAACGCAGCTCCTGATAATATTCCAATGCTTTGTGAGTGAAAATTCAAGTTCAGAGGCTTCAGGGGTCAGTCTCTTAAGACAAACATCCCCCTCGATCTGATAAACCATGAAATTTTGTGTGGTACATCTCTTGGTGCCTGTAATGTACGAAGTGTATGTCTTAATAAATAAATGAATTACATGTATATACAATCCTTTCACGAGACACTTTTTTACTTTAGAATTACAAACTACTTACTAGTTTAATCAGTAGTTTATCTTTTAAACCGATTTTTCTATTAACTGATATTCTTCAATTTATTTTTGTTAGATGGCAAGACCTTTACAAGTGAAAACTGCTGATATGGAACGTCGTACAGGTCCGTGATATGTAGAAAGACTGTTGTGTGATTGTTTTTAAGTCCATGTTGTACCATTTATTATTTGTAACTCTGTTGTGTTGCTGGTACGTATAAATGTGTGGAGGAATATTTAAACCACTATGATTTGTTGTTTTGATTTTATGTTGTCTTTTCTGATAATTATTGTAAATAAAAGAGTGTTGTGTGTTGTTACTGGTGTTGTACTCACTTAAAACCATCTTTTTTACGGGAGTATATGTTGATATTTAATGTTGCATATGCTCTTCAAGTATCAGTTCACCGGGATTTGATTGATTGGTTTCAGGTTTGATGAAGGATTGATACTAGTTAGAGAGCTATTCAATGCCACCACAGAGTACTAGACAGCTGTTTCATCTTAGCTTGAGGTTCCTCACAGTACACGCCCTCCAGATGTCAAATCCAGGATCTTTAGTTTACGACGTGAACTTGTTGACCATCCAGTCACTGGAATATAATCTAATCGCCGAAGAACTTTGTCTGGCGGACTAGTTGAAATTGTAAATAGATCTATGTCTATATGGCATGTTACAAGCCTCAAGTGAAGAGGTCATTTGAGTGTATTTCTGAGTAGAGGAATGTCGACAGAATCCTCAGGCATCTTATGATTACTGAGAGAGAAATGTTCCCCCAGGAATATTTCTTTTAGATGATCAAGGGAAACTACCATTTGAATTCATTCATCTCAGTTTCCTTTTTTAACGATTTTGTGATTAAATTTTAGAAGCATAACAAGCATCGATAACTAGAATATTTCAAGATTATGGAATTAAAGGGGATTTTGATGAATATAAATTCAGTTGTTAGATTTCATATTGAACCAGTACAAAATCCCATATACTTAATCTAGATATCAATCTGCAGCTGACTGACAGCTACTGGATAGATATCATGAAGCTGAACTGAGAAGTCGTGACCAGTGGGAACCACTAAGTCAACGTGAATTGGATACCCATCCACTATATTGGTTGCGGATAGTGCTATGTCACTGATTGAAAAAGTCAGTATTCACAGGTGAATGAATTCCAGTTCAGATGGCTGAATGTTCTCGTAACCTGAAGGTTTCTGGTTTCATCCTCCTTTAGGTCGTGGGGACTTGCAGATGAAGAGTCCAAAAACGGGGTGAGACAGCTGTCTATTACTCCTTTGTCTTCAGTGATCTCTCCAACTGATGTTTTTTCGTGATAAAATCTAAGAATTGCAATATGTATCAGTTATAGTGATATAATCTTGAGTGCTTAATGATTAAATCATTATTCGTTGAAGATTTCGACCTCCACACATTATTATTATTATTATTGTTTCCTTTAATTCCTAGAGAAACATAAGGCTTCATCCGTGCGTCTCCATTGAGTTCGGTTCTCTGCTGGAGTCTTCACCTGGCTCCAAGTCTGCCCAAACGTTTTCATCTCCTCTTCACATGACCTACTCCAAGTCACCCTCGCACTGACGACCAACTCGACCAACACTTCCCTTTCGGGTTCCACTCGAGCGATGGCTTGTCTAGTGATGTCACTTGATGGTTTCCTCAGAGTATGGCCAGCCAATCCATTTCCATTTCCTTCTGCCTATTTGTTTCACAATCGGTTACTGCTGTGTTGGTTCGCTCCCAGAGATTTGTCCCTGTTGCTGATCTCCTCTGGCCGGCCATCTGATCTTGAGTGGTATTGAACGAAGACAACTGTTAATGAAGGTCTGTGGTTTGTTTGAGATGCTCTTTATGACACGCAGTGCAAGTCTCTGATCCGTATAGTAGCACTGACTTCACATTGGAGTTGAAAATCTGGATCTTATTTTTGATACTGAGTGTTGTTGACCTCCACACAGACTTGAGAGTAGTGAAAGCTTGTCTTGCTTTTCCGACCCTTGTTTTGATATCCTCATCAGTTCCACCTGTAGTTGAAACGATGCTTCCCAGTTCGGTAGGTAAAGGAGGTTGTTTCTTCCAGGTTCCTCCCATTTATGCTGATTGTTGTCTGTTGTTGTTGTTGCTGTTGGAATCTTCATCACCTCTGTTTTCTCTATGTTCACCTGAAATCCTATCTTCTCTGGATGCTTCTTCTGCTAACTTGTTGCTTTTCGCTTGCACATCTTCCAGTTTGTAGGAAATCAGACATAAATCATCGGCGAAGTCCAGATCCTCCAAGTTTTTTGTGTGAGTCCTTTTTATGGCTGTTTCCTCACTGCCCACTCTTTGTCGCATTATCCAATCTACTGCAATTAGGAAAATCATTGGCGATAGTATGCAGCCAGCTTGTCTTACTCCTGTCCTCACTTCGAACACATTAGTTTTACATTTAAAGACTTCTAAACTTCGATATGACTTCATTCTCTAAGCTGGGCAGTTATACTGCGAATTTTTCGTTATCCTTCTACACAACATCTTCAGCTCAAGCTTTAATACGAAGTGTTTGCTTATTTGAATTCTTTCCATGAATGATATAATTTTTACCTCCTGATAACCTTTGTTGTAACCTGATTGTTAATTTGCATTTGTATTGATCGTTTTTATCACTTGGAATCTGAATCTTTTTGTCATGCGGTTTATTTTTTATTATTTGGTAAATTTAGTCTGTAGGAATGTGTGTCGTTGATTCAACTGAGCAACCTCCTAGATTGACTTCTTATAGGAATATCTTGTACACACAAATCTGTCTCTTCACGGTAAACGGTATTATTGGTAAGTTGTTAGTATGTTCATATAGAGGTTCAATAGAACAAATGGATCATAATAACGTATCACAACTGAAGGTCAGTACCGAAACCATAAACCTGATGCTGCACTTTGATTGGTCAACTACCTAACCTTAAACACCCACGTAATATTAGTTGGCCAATCAAATAACAGACATTTTGTATATATGATTATATAAAAAAGATAACTGTTCGCTTATGACACCTTGTTATGTTCGTGTAATAGCACTTGATTACGTATTAATCACTAATTCCTAATGCTTAGTGATGAAAGATTGTGAAACAGCAGGACAAATTTATCGTCCCATTTTTCTAAAATGAATACCTTTTTATCAGAAATTAGTTGGTGGTTTTTGTCAGGTAGTCTTAAGCTGAATCCCTTTAAATGTCAGACTTTTAATTTCACCTTCCCATACAAGCGCGATTTGCATAAACTGGCTTCTTCCCATGACCCTTATAACACAGATGGCAGTGAAGTTGAAACTAAGTGAAATGTTAGATAACTTGGATTGTCTTTCCGTTGACCTTTCAGGGTCTTTCTTCCGGTGCTGTTAATTTCTAGATAGATATTTCGTCTAATCCCCAAGTAAATAAGTTAAGACAATCTAGTATCACTCAGGCGCTAAACACTCACAGTTTTTTTAATTGTCGTATTCTGCCTCCTCTTCTTTATTGCTCCCAGTCTTTAATCTTTCCCACAGTATTAAAGAAAGACTCTCTAACACTGTTAAGCGCACTAAAGGCTATCAGTACGGAGATTCGTGTATCTCTAAGCCAAACTGCCAATACTATGTGGTAGATAAACACATGAACTAATGCAAGAGATTAATGAATATTATCTTGGCTAACCCTGAGCATCCTTTCTATGCACAGCTTTCACCTTGCATCTCATCAGGTAGAACTAGAAGCAAATATAGAAGAATTTATACTGGAACGACTAACTATAAAAGCTCTACACTACCTCAAGTGGCATACGTTTTATATGAGAAAAGTGTTAGACATGGAATTACTAATTTACTACGAAACACTAAGTAAATGACCCTTTTTATTCTTTCTTTCAGTGATATATCGTTGTTAATATTTCATATTCTTACTGAGCAATATGGTCAGTGTAAAGGCTATGTGTTGTTATTTCCGTCTGTGCTGCATAATGTTGGTAGAAAATTAAATGCAGTATTGTATTAGGCTAGTAACCAAAAATCTATTGAAACAAACCAATCAAGAATCGATCGCTCAACAAATATGTAGGAGAAAATGGAGATGGATCGGGCATAGATTGTGAAGGCCGTTGAATGACATTGCGAGCCAGGCCCTTGGGTGAAACCCAAATGGGAAGCGACGAGTGCTAAAGTGACATTGAGGAGATAGTGTGACGAAGAGGTGAGAGAGTTTGGGAAGTCGTGGACCCAGCTGAAGAGGACGTCAGGAAATAGAACGCTGTTGCTGAAGCCCTATGTTTCACTCGGAACCCAAGGGAACGACAAAAATAATAATTGTATTAGACATTACGAATTCCACATGGTATCGAAAGTAGTGTTGGGAATGGAGCTATGAATATCATTATACTCAAGGAATCTATCACAGATGGCTGGAGATGACATATAGGTGGTGGTGGGAACTAAGTTTCTTGTTCACGGTACATGTTAGCAAGACATATTTATACCTTCAAAGGAAATGATACTCCCTTCACACGCTGCGGTTTGAATCCCCGTTTAACAGTCCCACAGTCAGAAATGTAGCAAACTTTGTTTTTTTTCCTTCACGTTCCCCAGTGGAACATAGGGCTTCAAGCTAGTGGCTTGAAGTTTCTGTAGCAGTGTTTATTTTACAGGATGGGGTTGCTAGCCTCATGCCCAACCTTTCCTCTTCACCAGCATTATTCCTGGCTTAGCGAGGTAAAGGAGTGAGTCGGCCGGGGTTCAAACCTCGGACCATGTGCATAGTCGGCGAGCGTCCTAACCACTATACCACCGACGCACACAAACTTTGTTTAGAAGTATCTTTCCTTTGATTATTTCACTAAGTGAAGTGTATTTAAATCTCAGGATACCACCACCAATCCTGTCGAAGTTGTAAACAAGCCTTCCTCATAAGTGGTAATAAGCACAAGACTAAGGTTCACAGCCCCCTACCGATTGTCTCTATCCCTGTAAAAATAATCGAAAATGACATTGTAATAGCAGAACTCTTAGCCTGATGACCTCACTTCATGCCTGACTGATGGAAACCCATAAGTATTAAAGACACTATGATCAATCAGAATAGAAATCGCCATATTCACACAGTTATAAAG